GAGGAAGGCAGGGATGAGAAGTTTCAATGGTGTGGAGCAAGATGTAAAGAAACAGGATTTATTTATAGATAATGGGTAAAGACTTAATTGAAAAAGGGATTCTGCAAAGGTACATAAGATTGTATTGTTATATTTGTATTAGAAATAATGTTAGAAAATTGGAAACAACATGTGATTTAAAAATGGGATAAAATATTTAGTGTAATTCAGTGAAATTTTTGTGAACAAAAGGAAGGCAATGAAATAAATGAAAGAATTGAATTAGGAAGGAATGGGAACATTTTAATGACACAATGTTTTAAAATATAAGTGAAGTGGGGGGGAAATAACTATGGAAAGTTTATAAGTGTTCCCATAAAAGTATGATATTTAACTGAAAAGTAATGTGTAAAATGTTCAAGATTTAAATGAATATTAATATTAATGATATATTTGAATTGGTATGGATTGTTGTTTTAATTATATTACATATTTATAATCTTTTCTTTTTTAAAAAATACAGTGTGTAACTTTAGAATGTGCTAAGCAGAATCCAAATGGAAGTTATGTACTATACTAAGTGTTATAAATTTAGGGGAAAGAGATAAAGGCATCATACTCCAATCAGTGTACAGGAAAAATTTTGTTTAAAGGGAAAAGATAATAGATAGCTGGAAACAGGACAAAAAATAATAAGCATAATGATCTGAACTGAGATGAGATAAATAAAATAAAATCAAGAAAGTTAAAAGAGGGGAGAAGCTATATAGAAAATATAAAATGGCAATAAGATATGGAATGGTATATAAAATGAGCATGAATTTGAATTTGTGTCTGTATGAAGAGATGTAACCCGGGATCAAGCTGCTTTCAGAAAAGATGTTTTATGTTTTCATGTTTTATGTTTGTTTGTGTATTGTTGAAAATCAATAAAATTTGTTTTAAAAAAAAGAAAGTTAACAAGCACCCCTCTCCTAGAAGAATGAAATATTCTAGGAAATATTAAAAAGGCAAAATATTATACCTCCCTGAATGAGTAAAGCAGAAACATGCTCTTGGAAAGCAGCCCCCACCTTTGTCAATAGCCCCAGAAAGACTGGCCCATCCTATCTACAAGACAAAAGGCCTTCAGCTCCAGGATGATAGGATTAGCCTTCTTCACTGAAGATCCAAACCAGTACAAAGCCATTAAGCCATAATAGGAATTGCCCAACACAACCCTCTTCATTACATCATCACCCAGCAAGATTCAACCAAGCCTGGGACACAGACAGCCTACAAGGTTAACTGGACCCTCGCATAGCCCCCTGGGAGTCTTGACAACCAATAGGATACATTTCTTGCAAGGCCCAAGATAGGATATAAATATATCTCACTCTCCACTGCATGTGGTCATCTATCTAGAATAACACGTGCTTGGTGGTTTTGCTTCACCATTAAACTATCCTTCCAAACAGCCTCCATGTTTCCAGTGTCTTTCTTCCCACTTGGAACTGAACTCAGGTGGACATTTCTTCCAACAATTGTAAATAATGTATATTGTATTAGCCATATTTCTTAAAATGTGGTCCTAGGATCTCAGGGAGTTCCCCAAGACCTTCTCAGAGATCCACAAAAATCAAAATAATTTGCCAGCCTATGTTAAAAAAAATACAATATAAAATGCCTTCAAACAATCATGAAAAACATCATCATCAGCAGTAAATGTGTGGCCTAACTTTTAATATTTAATATGGCAAATATTGATATATACAACCTATACCAATAAAAAGCTCTTTTGGGGGTCCTCAATAATTTTTAAAATTGGGATGAAAAAGAAAAGAAAAAAAAGAAACAGAAGAAAAAGTAAAGAAACACTAGTATATTATATCTGATTTTTGTATAACACACTTTCTCTGTGGTGGCTGGAGTTGAAAAAGGCTGTGTTAAAATAATAATGGAAAATGGTGTCAGGCCAATCAGCCGTTCCCTTTGTTATGTTAAAACAACATGTAAGCCTTTTATACAGCCAGCTCAGACTCCCTCCAAAAAACTTTCAGCTTGTTTTTTAAGTAATATCACTTTGCTACCAACTGACTCACTGCGTTCCTGGCTGCCTAAAATTAAGTAGGATTCTGGGCCTCAAAAGATTACTGTTTTGGGGGGCTAGATAAAAAGTGATTTGAAGTATAATGCTATTGTCCTTCTTGGCAATAAATTTGCAACCTGGATTTTAACTCTTTAGACCTCCAGACTTCAGGAAACTGTATATTTTTTTTTCAGGTTTAGGAGACAATGTGCTACCTTTTTGCACAATTAACTATCCCTTTGCTAGCGGGGGAATGTGGACCCATATTTTACTCCTGCTAATTCCAAGAGAATAAATAGATGGGATGAATTTCTTCTAATCATTTCTTTCCCCAGAAGGCCCCTTACAAAGGAACAGATTAAGGGACAGCCAAGATTCAATGCCATCAGTCTAAGATAACCCGAACAAACATTCCAACTGGGAAGTTTCAGGAAGAAACAGGGTCTAAAATGCAATTGGTGCTTTTGACAGATGGATAGATTTGTTTTTTTTTTTAAAAAAGGACAACTAGAAAACTTTATTTGAATGATTTGTAGGATAAAATATCTCAGAATACAGGAAGTATTAAAAGAAACTATTAATAAGCTAGTTACACTAAATCACTTTAAATAGTTTATAAAGTTGTCATGCTCTAGTGATCTTATGTATATATGCACCAGAGGAAGTTTGAATTTTGTGTAATGCTAGCAACATAGTTTACCTTGTTTACTAATATTTTGCATGTTTAAGCAATACATCTAAAAACATTCTCCATTATTGAGCTGTAAACAAGATATTTCAAACAAATACCAATGACGCTTGTTAATGATTGTCAGAATCTACAGTACAGATAATACATCAACTATGATACTACATGGAAGGAGTTTGATCTGTTAATCCTGAGGAAGTGAATAGCATCCTAGGTATTGTTGATATGGAAATTTGTGTTTTACATTTTATGCCCATCCTAGTTGGTTAAGACCTCTCTCTTAAGAAACCATTGCTGGATCCCACAGAACTGGACACTTTTCATCCTATCTCCACTTTCTGGGGCAGGTTAATGAACAGATAGTCAGTTTACAAGACCGACTCCAACTGTACAACTACAGAAAGTGGTGTCAGACTCTTTGGACCTCTTTCAGTCAGGATTCAGAATTAGGATACTGTATTGAGATAGCCTTGGTCATATTTGTGGTTGATCTCTTGCAGAGGAAAGGAAAGGAAAAGACTCAGGATGGTGGTGATACATCCATCCTGGCATTCCTTGATCTCGTGGTGGCTTTCAACACCATTGACAACCATGGTATCCTTTTGGATTGACTTAGGGGGAATGGGAGTGGTGCCAGTTTGACACTGAGATTTTTTTTCCCTGTGTCTGTTTCCTGTTGAATTTTTATTTTGGGTGGGGAACAGTCTAGTCCAAGGCCCCTACTTTATGGGGTGCCTCAGGGCACTCCTCTCTCCTGGATATCTAAATGAAGCCTCTGGGCAAGGTCTTCCATCTGTACAGCCACTGTGAGTTGGGCAGCTAGAAACATTTGTTTAATAAATAAATAACACACAAAATGCATCATCATCATCAATAAACTTGGTGCTATCATCAGAGAGCACCAAGCACCCAATAAATTGATGATATTCAATCGTACATCTTTTCTCCTGGCTGTTCAAGTGCCTGAAAATGTGGAGGATCCTGAACAGGGAAAAACAGGCTTTGGTCCAACACTGTGAGAACCATTTTTGGATTGACCTGTTAGAGAAGCTGCAACTGATCCTGAAGGTGGTGCTGCAGGTAAGGCCTGGATAGGCAGCCGCTTTTCATTGTTTTAAACAGATACATTACATGGCTTATCTACTTTTGTCTTAGTTTGTTATATGAACCCATTTAATGTGTTTTATATCAGTAAGCTACGGTTAAGAAAACTTTGCATGCTGCACAAGCTCAGTTACCATCATGACAGTCTTCCCAGAACTTTCCCCTATTCCGGGCTACTGATATTTATAGGCACACATTACTCATGAGTGGGAGATAGGCATGAATTATGAGAGTTGCAAATGCCAATCTGGAAAGCACCAGGATGGGGAAGGGATGGTTTATCTCTTTAGAAAGCTCCTCTTTCTAAAATGCAGCCACACCCCCATTGGGCAAGTATAATCTATGCAAGCTGAAGTAGATCTTCTTGAACCTTTTTATTCGCAATGTTTAGCCATCCTTCCTACCTAGAGTAACTCCTTTCTCTGTTAGCCTCTGGTAAATGATTGAAATCAGAAGCCTGATCTACTAGGGCGAAGTTTTTTTTTTTTCCTGCAACGCGAGTGGGTGTCAGCGCTTGGAACGGAGGTCACGAAAAGTTGCCAAGGCTTCTCCATAGATACAGTGTGTTGCTTTGTAAAGCTGAATAGCCCCGATGAACGGAGGACGCTGGCTATTGTTGGGCAGCGGAGCCTTTTCCTACGCGGAGCGCCCTGCAAGCGAGCTGCCCGTTTCTTCTTAATTCGACGGGCAGAATCTTCCAAAGCGAACCGGGATATTCTTTGGCCGGGGAGAACAAAGTCCCCCTCCCCGCCCCCCGCTCTAAACTGTACGCAGAAGGGAGTTGGTTGTCAGCATCCGGGAGATAAGAGGCAAAGGGATCTTCCCAGCCCAGAGATCACCCAACTCAGCCGATCGCTATCAGATCTCCCGATCGCTATCAGTTCAAGGGCCGAAGATGAAGGGAGAGAGGGAACGTTTCCATAGAAATAAAGGAGCCTCTCTGAGGGGGCGGGGCATCGAGGGCCAATCCACGGCCAGAGAGGCGTGGCGGGGCAGACAGGTGACTAATCCCGCTGCCGGAGGGCGGTGGTTCCCGTCCCCGGGCGGGCGGGGCACAAGCGTCACGTGCCAAGGGCAGTGAGAAAAAGTTGCGAAAGCGGGGGGCATGAAAGGGCCGCCTATAAAACGAGGATTGTCAGGGAGGGAAGAGAAGCAAAAAGGAGTCGGGGCTTCCACGCGAAGGCGACTCTCTCTTTTAACCCGGGAGGCAAAACTCGCCCAGGCGGGCAATGGGGTGCCTAGAGAAGCCCGATGTCTTGCAAGAGGCGAAGCCGGAGCTGGTGGAAGCGGAGGCTCCTAACGGGTCAATCCCGGCACTGGCGCCGGAGGTCCGCCTGACCTGGCGCCGGTGGCTGATCGTTGTCCTCTTCAGCTCCTACTCCTTCTGCAACGCGTTCCAGTGGATCCAGTACGGCAGCATCAACTTGATCTTCGCCGGGTTTTACGACGTGACTCCCTTCGCGATCGACTGGCTCTCCATGTGCTACATGATCGTCTACATCCCCCTCCTCTTCCCTGTCGCCTGGCTCCTCGACCTGAAGGGGCTGCGGCTCATTGCCCTGGCCGGGTCCGCCCTCAATTGCTTGGGAGCCTGGGTGAAGACGGGGAGCGCGGAGCCCCATCTCTTCCCAGTCACCATCGTGGGCCAGATCATCTGTTCCCTGGCGCAAGTCTTCATCCTGGGGATGCCGTCCCGCATCGCGTCCGTCTGGTTTGGCCCCCGAGAGGTCTCGAGTGCCTGTTCCATCGCGGTCTTTGGCAACCAGGTAGGAGAGGAAATAGTCTGCCACAGAGGGATGTAAGGAAGTAAGAGTTGCTTAGGGCAGAAAGAGAGAACCAAAAAGACTTTGACTCTCTCCCCCTTTCCCCCCCACCCAAGAAAATGTTTGCAGCTTGGAAAAGTCAGACAAAAAGCACACACACCCCACTCCACACACACACACGCGCCCCACCTTCTTTCAATATTGTAGACTTGTGAGTGAAAGGTCTCCAGAGTAGACAGAGGCACTGGCTCAGATCATCAGGGAATTAATTACAAGTATGCAAACCGGGTTAGGACTTAATGAAAGCATCCAGAGACAAAGTCAAGCCACCTGAGGCTGGGAGTGGGAGCTTGAAATCTAGGCTAAGAGGAACGTCTGTGCAGGATAGAGAATGGGTTCCCATTGGGATTGGTGTTAAATTTCAAAAATGTATACCAGAAACTTTCTTTGATAATGACATCCCTTTATGATGATGATGATGATTCAGTTGTTTTGCATGTACGCTTAGCGCTTCTGTACCGGAGATAAACTCCTTGTGTGTCTAGTCACACTTGATCAAATAAAGTTCAATTCAATTGTGTCTTCTTCATGAATACAGGGTATGTGTTATAGAAACCTTTTTCACTTTCTGAAAACAGAGGGAAAAAAGGCCTGTGTGATATAATGATGATTGTTGTTGTTAGTTGCAAAGTCGTATCCAACCCATTGCTACCCCATGGACAATGTTCCTCCAGGCCTTCCTGACCCCTACCGTCTTCTGGAGTCCATTTAAGCTCATGCTGACTGCTTCAGTGACTCCATCCAGCTGCCTCATTTGATAATGATGATGGTGTCAGATTCAGGGCAGGGAGTCCTGACTCTTAGTTTGCCCTCTGGCCTGGAATCTCTTTGGGTGACTTTGGGCCAAAGAATCCTTCTCAGCCCAATCTAATTTGCAAGGTTGCTACTGTTGGGAAAAACGGGAGGAGCAACTGCTCAGTATGCCCCTTTCCTGAAGGAAAGGTGAGATTGCAGTCTAATAAATAATTAAATGTGATCCAGACACCCCATGAACCAGTGTAAGAAAACAAATGAACATGTAACCAAAGGGATATTGTTAAAAATGGAAGCTTGGGATGAGGAGTTTAAAAGGTTATAGGGAATGTTAATATTTTAAAAACTATACTTCAGTAGTGTTTAGTAGTGTTGACTGACTTGATTTTACAAAATGTTTTGCAGCGATTGTTAAAGAAAAGCAGCAGTTGTAAAGTGAACTCATTTTCCACAATGGGCATTTTTTTTTTTGCTGGAAACCAGAACTAAATGCTGTTTTTTGGCAAAAAAAAAAAGACAGAGAGAGAAATTGTGACTGTGGGCTGCTGCAAAACATTGTAAATGTGGGCTGCTTGCCTAGTGCCAAGATGTGCCCATATGTCAACAGGGGAGGGTCTGGTCATCGGAACTTTGAATCTGAGTTGTAAGTACCTTTTGGAGGGTCTGTCAAAACTTCAGAGTCACTAAGCTACTGGTTATAAGTTGAGAACTACCTGTATATCTACCGATATACTGTATTTTCTGAGAATGTATATATGTTATGGTTCAGTGTTGTGAACAGATTGTTTCCAAGTTTGAGAGCTAAAAGGACTGGGTGGATTCTGCTGCTATTAGATCTGAAATAATTAGTGGTTTATCCTTCAGCTCATTCTCCTAGTGTTAGAGCAGAGGTCTCCAAACTTGGCAACTTTAGGACTTGTGGAGCTATGCTAGCTGGAGAATTCTGGGAGTTGAAGTCCACAAGTCTTAAAGTTGCCAAGTTTGGGGACCCCTGTGTTAGAGTCAAGAACATACACTCAGAATGGCATTACAAGCCATATACAGAAAGGATGTATTCCCATATATATATATTTTCTCACCAGGCGGGTAGCATAAATTTTAAACCCTTTCTCTAAGGGTTTCATTTCAAAGTGGGTTTTTCTGTCAGAGAAGTATGGCTATGGTTTGTTTGAGTAGGGAAATGGCTGTATAAATTGTACAAATAAAATTAAATGGATTAACTGCATTATTAATTTCTTATCATTGAAGATGATTTCATGAATGAACCAATTATGTTTGAGTGTGGAATCTCTTTTATATTAGTGTTTGGCTGGGTGAGGAATCTGTCAAGGCAAGAATCACTGGTCCCTTAGGCGATATAAAACCGGTATCTCCAAGCAGAAGGGCCTTGTTGAAGTTCACAGAAACTATTGAAGATCAAATTGTTCCAGAAAGCAACTGTAGAATAAGAGCTGTTACTATTGTGCTTAGTTGAATGTTTAGCACAGTGATGGTTAACCTTTTTGGTGCCAAGTGCTCAAAGTGCGTGTGGGCACGGGAATGCACATGCGTGTGCCCCAATCCCCAAATCAAATCCCCAATGCAAGTGCCCCCTGCGCATGCTCCCCACCCCCACCCCTTCCCTGCACATGTGCCCCCCCCCATGCATGCTCCCTGGCCCGTGGCCCCCCATTTTGGCTTCCAGGTTGGTACAGGAGGCTTTTCAGACCCAAAAAGGGGCGCGGGGAAAGGCTTGTGATCTTGACAGTTTTTCGCCCCCCTCACGCCCAGGCTTTCTCCTGTATTCCTGCTTCCCCAATCTGGCAGTTTCTCCCTGTGCATCCAGGTTTTTTCCTTGGTTCCTGCCACGGAGAGGCACCCATAGCGGGTGGAACCTGGGGAGATCTGGGAAGGCTTAGGTGGCAGGAATGCAGGAGAAAGTGCTGGTGGGGAAATTGCAGAGATTGGCGAAGGCCCCACCCCCGCACATGCATGGCAGAAACGTACCAGGATGTGCAGTGGAGCTGGGCTGAGCGATGGCTGGCGTGCCTGTAGAGAGGGCTCTGCATGCCTCTTGTGGCATGCGTGCCATAGGTTCGCCATCACTGGTTTAGCACATAATCATTCTGATTTTGTTGGTGTTTTTTTTTTTTTGGTGAGTGTAAACTGTGGAGAAGTGGTATATTTTGCAGGAGTATAGAAATATAATAAAGTAACAAAGAGTGGATTCTTTTTTCTGTTCCCCAAAAGAGGTCTAGGGAAACAATTTCCTTACACTTTAAACTACATATAAAGCCTGGCTACTGTTCTGGTGGTAAGTAATGTCTTCTCCAGGATAGTCTATCCACTTCATTCCCCTGCCATTCCTTGAGAGAGTTATTTTGTTCTTTTATCTAGTGTTTTAGAACTATGACTTATTTCATTATCTAATTTCTAATAGATGCCCAGATTCATGCCATCCTTTTTAGAAAAGTTCTTCCTTAACTTTTGCATGTAAAGCTCTATCTTTTGTCTGTTCCTGGATAATAAAACAGAGATAACAGATGTGACCTTAAAATAATACCTTTGTTGTTATGTAATTTATCAGCAAGATGTCTAAGTTTACTTAAAATATTTTATTTATTAAAAGCATTTATATGGCTGCCCATCCTGCAACAAAATCTGGATGGCTCCCAGTATCTACTTTCATGCTTTCCCTAACAAGCTACAGTCCATATCTTCTGCTGAAGACTTTCTGGCTCCTTCCATGATCAAGATCTCCTGAAGGGCCCCTATTGACCATCAGGAAAAAGAGAACATTGGAAGGGAGGTGTTTAAAGAACAAACTTGGTGAGGTGGGAACCAAGCTATCATGTCAACTTTGTTTGAGTGCCTCCTAATTACAAAACTAGGAAGTGGATATTCATATTTCTGTTGACTTGGTGAGAAGAAGGGGCATAGAAGTATAATACAAACAGAAAGGGGGGACAATGGAGGGTCAGATATCGGTGTACTAGAGTGGGCATATCTTCTGAATATATAACTGTCTGTCCTTATTTTTGTCTGCAGTGAAGCCATTAATTTAACCATTCTTGAGTATAAGGCTAAATGTCTATAGCGATGAAATTTATTATTGTATCTGGTCTGAAGTTTGACAGTTTGAACTGTTACATTTTGAAAACCTACTAATAAAATTATCTACATAATGAGCTGAGGAACAATGGATGATGACATCCCAGAAACATGCTGATTCTGTAAGAATGTATAAGCTACTTAAGCAACTCTATATTGCAAAATTGTTTTTGTATTGAATATATGCATCTTTTGTTCCATCTTGTGGGACTGGTTATGTGATATTTATCTTTCCATTTTTCATCCAAAAGTTATTCTACTTATGAAAAGTTGCTATTTTAGAAGTTTTTAGTAAGCTTATTTGTCCACATTAAATTATTCCTGTTTCTGTTTCTTAGCTGGCTGGTGAATTCTGGCATTTAATGAGTCTGTACATCTTAAAATTGCCAAGTTTGAAAGTCATTGATCTAGTTGGTATTTTTTAATGAAAAGTTTGTTATGGCTACAGTCATGAAACACTTTCTGCTGATTCTCTAGCTTTTTCTCTAATTCCTAGTAAGTCACATGCTTAAACTTTTCTGGTAACTTTCTGAGCAGATATACTGTACTTGTAGTGTATTAAGAGGAACTTAACCATTTGTGTACAGTATCATTGGGTTTTGCCAAATAATTAGGTTTAAACTGGTTATTGTGACCCAATTTGTTTGATTTCATAAAGCTGGCAGCCCAAAGAGGACTTTAGTGGTGTGTTAACCAGATGTATAATCTACAAATGAAGTCCGAAGCTAGAATGGGGCTACTGTAGTAATGTTGTTCTTATTGTTAAAATATGCCTTATTCAGAACCTCTATTCATCCACCTGTATGTTTTATTACATATGCTTTTCTATACTCAATGTGCTTTTCTGATATATCTGGAAGTGCCTGATAGCTAAAATTCTCTTTTCTGAGCAGCTTATCTGAAAGCCACAGAGAAACACTGGTTGTAAACACCTCATCTTAATTATGCTACTTTGTACAAGAGCATTAGCAGAAAATTGTAGGGAAGGGATGTTCAAAAAGCATTGGTTAGTTAATAATAATCAGTCTAAACATCTGACTAACTGGAAAACCAACAAAAATACTCTAGTAATATTATATTAAATATTATATAATATAATA